TGAGTAAATCAGATAAACTGATTGATTATAACAAGCTATATAGTGTTATTTCCTCACAGATTACCATGTAAGTGGTGACAAATTAGCTCACAATTAAGTATGTGTGTATTCAGAAGAATTTCAGTTCAGCTGTTCTTTTTATGAAGGCCCTAGGGACAACTGGCTCTTACCAAAGATACCCATTAAAATAATATCAGTGAGCCATTTAAAAATTAAAATGTAAAAATTAAATTTCTAGAAATAAGTATAGAGCACATCTTTATAAGAGTTTTTTAGAAGAAAAAATTTTCTTAGACTTATATTTAATAAGAAATTAAGGTTGAATTATTATTTCCTCCATTTATCAGATCAGAAAACTAGGCTCAGAAAGTTAAATAATTTACCCAAGGTCTCTACTAGGAAGTGACAGAACTGTGACGTGGCTCCTTGTCGGTGCAGCTCTGAAACGTATACTCTTAACTCTCCTGCCATATCTGCCACCATTTTAGTGAAGATGTATATACTAAAGCTAAAAGTCAGAAAAGCTCATGCAATAAAGAGCCTTGAATGATAACCTACATCGTTTGTGCTGAATTCTGAAAGAGTCTTACAAAAATTTAAGATGAAAATGAGAGTTGTGTTTTTAAAACTTTAGTTTTATAATGTACTGCAGGAAGATGAAAATCAAGACATTGATGTAAACAGTCAGGAGGCTGTGCAAAGACTTTGTGCTCCATTCTGTGCATGTGTTAGATCAGCCCAAATAATTTTGAAATTTAGTTGTCAGAAAAAAAAATCAATACCTCTTCATGTGGTCCAGGTGCAGTGGTTCACACCTGTTGTCCCAGCACATTGGGAGGCTGAGGCAGATGAATCCCTTGAACCCAGGAGTTTGAGACCAGCTTGGTCAATATGGCAAAACTCCATCTCTACAAAAAATACAGAAATTATCCAGGTGTGGTCGTGCATGCCTGTAGTTCCAGCTACTCCGGAGGCTGAGGTGGAACAATCACCTGAGCCCTTGAGGTGGAGGTTATAGTGAGCCAAGATTGGTCTCACTGTACTCCAGCTTGTGTGATAGAGTGAGACTATCTCAAAACAAACAAACTAAAAAGACTTCAAATGGAAACAGGCTGGGTCTCTATCAGACTGCAAGTTTTAACAATCATTTAGCTTTTGATATCAAGTCCACCACAGATTAAATAATTTTTATTTAATTGAGGAGAATATACATTTATTCTTTTATCAAGTATAATGTATCATCTTCAATGTTGATATTTTCAAATGTTAATCTATTTGTAAGGGAATATGTCTTTTCTATTTTGGCTGAGCTTCATATCATAAATGAGTGAAAAGGCATTCTATTTTCTACCATCAAAACCCTTTTTACACATTTTGTTTTAAGAAAAGTAGATATTAAATAGAGAAAGTAGCCAACTTTCTTCTATTAAGACTTCCTATTTGTTCAGAAAAAGGACTAATGTATTCTCATAGTTTTTCAGGGTATAATTTTCAGGAAGCAAGCCAAAACATGAATTTTGTACAAATATATAGTGAGCAAGTGACCAAAACTGACTTAACATATTAATGAATTAATCCAGCAGAATTATAAAGCTGGTTCAAAAAAGGAGTAAGAGAGACTTACGTATAGAGAGTGAATTAAAGACAGAACGCTGAGAGAAAATTAAATAGATATAAACTTGCTTGATGTTCTATAAGACAATAAAACTACAACTTTTGTGTTATCTTTTCTACTAGATAAAATAATTCGTATTGCTTCTGAACAAAAAATATACTCTTTTTTAAAAAAAACAATTTAACATCCAATCTCATAGAATCTCAGCCTAATAAAAAATAGTAAGTAAAACAAAAACGCATTCTTCCAGATAATTGAATAATCTTTGAAAGTATCTATTAGACAGTGCTCCATTATATCTTTGAAATAACATGCAGTCATTCATTCATTTCATTTTCAAATTTGAGATAATTTTTCCATCTCTACCCTATAATAAAAATAGTGTTAGTACTTAGGCTAACACTATATGTCAGTAATTGGTATGCATTATTTTATTTAGTTCTCGGAATTAATATCAATGAACATAAGACTTTTTCTGAAACATTATTTTGTTGCAAAAAGTTTTTATGAGAAAAACTTGAATGAGAGTTTGAGTAGTTTGAATATTATTGCTCTTATACCCAAATTCATTTATCAAAAATGATATGCCTTTTTTTATTTATGCAGAGTAGTGCTATGTTCATCATACTGATACTATTGAGCATCATCATTTTAAAAAGAAGTCAATTTGGTAGATGTAAAATAAAATCTTGTTTCAATTTAAATACACAATGTCCAGTTACTAGTGAAGGTTACTTTTAAAACAATCAGTAGTACATATATGGCATATATATGTGGGGGGTACATGAAATATTTTGATGCAAGCATACAGTGAATAATAATCACCTCAAGGTAAATGAGGTTTTCATTTATTCAAGCATTCATTATTTCTTTGTGTTCCAAACATTTTAAATTGTACTCCTTCAGTTATTTGTTATTCTAAAATATACAACAAATTATTGCTAATGATAGTCAACTTTTTAAAACATGGTTTTAATTGGGCATAGTGGAGCATGCCTATACTATTAGCTACTTAGATGGGAGAGACAAAAGGATTGCCTGAGCTCAGGAGTCTGAGGCTGTAGTCTGCAATGATTGCACACTACAGTGAAGCTACTGCACTCTAGCCTGGGCAACATAGGAAGATTCTAACTCAAAAAAAAAAAATGAAAATTTAAAAAAAAAGAGTAGAAATAAAATAAAAGTAACGGTTTTGTTAATTTCTTTTAAGGCTGTTTTGCTTATTTTTCTGTTAAGGCATTTGTATTCACGTTTTTAAAATGCCTTTCTGCTTCTACTATCTGACAGAATTAACCCTTTGTGCTTTTATTGTCAGTTTTATTAAGGTAAATTGTCAAATAAAATGGTATGTATTTAATGTGTACTAAACCTTTTATGTGTATTCTTACACATCAAAGAACTTGCCATGAAGAGTATTTTATGTGAGGATTAATAACACCTAAATGAAACTCATTTGTGATAACCTGAAACTCAACATAAGATTATGCTAGTAAAGACATAGTATTATTTCCTCATTTTTAATTAAAATTCTTTTATCAAAAAATATAATACACATATGTATATAAATAATGTTAATAAGCGTGGAGAACCAAAAATAAAGGAAACAGAGATATTTGTAAATGTGAAAATATTTGCAGGTTGATTGCAGCAATTATATTAATAAGTAAACAGTAAAGCTTTAAGGGATTACGTTTTGAACAACTTAGAATAACTAGGTAAACTTTCATAATAGTTTAAATCATTTCTTGTGAGGTGCTAGTAAAACGAAATCAAGAACTAAAACAGAAACACACCCAAGATTATGTAATTTATATTGCATGTGAAGTACCTGCATACACAGCATGTAAAATATATATACTTATGTTTATATATATGAAGATGTTTATACAGATATTTATACATTTTTATATATATAATATATATAAATATATATATATTTATACATTTATATGTGTGTACATGTATACATATATATATAAAATATGTCATTACTAGTTTTGGTGTCTTAAAGATTTTCTCTGGAATCACTGACTATATCAAACTAAGATGGATATGTATTTTTTAAATTATCCTAACTCCCAGGGATATAAAAAGATAACTAAATTATAGAATTGGCTATTATAATGTTTTTTACTTCATAATAATTTGGCGGTATATATGGATATGATGTATAATTTATTATATAAAATTATAAAGAAAATATAAATAATAAAATGATATGATACATGTATATGTACATACAGTAACATGAAATATAGATGAATAAAGAAAGATTATCATAATAACAGAAAACATAATTTATCTGAGCACTACATAAATCAATGTGTATAAGAATCATGGAAACCTTTGAGATCATTTTTTTGTTTGCTGTTGTTGGAGATAGGGGATAAACTCCCAAACCAAGTGTGAGCCACTCATATCCTTTGCCAAGGCTCAGAACGGACTCACAAGTTTGTTGGCTTTCTTTTCCCTCCCTCCCTCCCTCATCGTCTGCCTGGGAAGCCCATGATTAGAAGCCTGGCTGTGTGGCTTAATGGGCGCAAAATCCGAGAAAAACACGTCCGTGAGAAAGATCTCCTGGCCCTTGCCTGTGAACAGCGCTTTCCCGTGAGTGCCAGGTACCAGGTTGAAGCTGCGCTGGGTCGCCCACAGGCACCCTGAACTCTCCTAGCTCAGTTCCTGTGCCCAGCTCCTGGGTTCCAGCTCTCCTGGGACCAGACGAAGCCCGCCCTCCCTTCCACTTCCACTTCACATTTCGAGTTCCAGCAGATCCTCTAGGTGTGTCTTCTTTACTAGCTGAGGGGCGGGAGCAGTTTGCTTTTCCTCTGAAAGTCCCAGGGCTCTAAAGTCCCAGTGACTTTCAAAGATGGGTAAGGGTCAGCATAAACGCATTGGGAGTGAAACCCTAAACTCCAGGGGTCCCTAGGCCAAACTGATGCATCAGCCCTGGAGCCCTGTGGTCCTTCAGGTCCTTCGACTTTTGCAAGATGAACTTCAGAGTGTGGAGGCGGGGCCTGGGAGAAGCTCTGGAGACCATGAACTCAGGGATTTGCAATCCGAAGTGGTCTCTGAGTCCACCTTGATACAGTTTCAGCTTCGCTCTCCCTGATATATTTTAAAGCCCCGACACCCTGACAGGATTTGGGGGTCGAATGGGTTGGCAAAGAAAGTTCTCGGCCCTCCCTCATGCTTGCCGTGATCAGATGATTTTTCACAGACTGGAGCTGACTAGGAGTTGGGAGATATTTACTTTTAATTCTTTTATGTGCGTTCAGTACACCCTGTGTGGTTGGGTGTGGAAAGCGTGGGGCGGGGGGGGGGGGGTTTCCAGGGCGAATGAAATTCCCATTCCATTGGTATTACCATGCCTGTGGAGTTGGCAGTTCTTTAAGTTTAGCTAGTCTGCAAATAACTACAGAACACAATAGAGTTCTCCGAGTCCTCCTCTCTCTCTCTCTCTCTCTCTCTCTCTCTCTCTCTCTCTCTCTCTCTCTCTCTCTCTCTCTCGCTCTCTCTCTCTCTCGCTCTCTCTCTCTCGCTCTCTCTTTTTCTTTTCCTGTTTCCAAATGCCTTCTTCGAGGCTGAAGCTGGGCAGGTCTCCAAAGGTGCAGCAGCCACAACAATCCCGCAGTTCAAAGTTAAGCAGCAGTTGCACAACTTCCAGCAACTTTCTCAGCAGGCTACTAATGAGCTGAAAGCCAGGAACATCCGAGAAGAGAAAGCTTCCAGCCCTCCTCCCTTCACCCTGGAAATTCAGACATCCCCACCCCGACTCCCAGATCTCTTTAAGATAATTTCTTTATTCACTTGCCCGACAGACCATGGCTCCCTTTGGAAGAAACTTGCTAAAGACTCGGCATAAAAACAGGTAAAGTCAAGCGTGTGTGTGTGTGTGTGTGTGTGTGTGTGTGTGTGTCTGTCTGTCTGTCTGTAGTCGGGACCTGACCTGTGAAAGTATGTGTTTTGTGGTTGTGAGATTCTGATAAAAACTGCTTTGGGGGCAGAGCCCTTAAGGGAGTTAGGCTAGTATGAATACCTAGAAGGCAAGGACATTCTCCCAGTGTTGATGATGGAAGTGACATGCTCAAGGATCCCAGAGAATAAAGAGTGGTTATTTCTGACTCCTTTCTCCCTTTTTGACCAGTCCTTGTTCCACAGCTAGCAGCACAGTTTCTCTTTTTGTTGCCCTGAGCATTTGAGGGTAGTAGAATAAAAAGTGTCATTTGGTTTCAAACAGAACTTTAGAATATTGTAGAAAAAGTTAAAACTTTGATGAAGATATAACTAGAATTTATAGCCACTAATTAGGATGGAAAATAAAGCTGCGATACAATTCAGAGACAATGCTTTGGTTCCCCTGGGAGTGGGGCATTCCTGAAACCTGGAATGTTCCCAAAGTGAAAAAACTCCGGAGAGAAACTGTGTGTGAACTGATTCTTTCAAAAAGCTTTGAGAACTTTAGGTAGTTTTAAGCTCTAAAGATGGATTCAAGCAGCTATCCTCTCTAAATAGTAATAATAATCCTTATTATTACTAGTTTACTTTTTTCTTGATTTGATATTTCAAGCCTGAAATGGCCATAGTATAAATAAGTTACTTAAAACACACATACACACATATTTTTCTTAAGATAGTATGTCTGTCTTAGTCTTATTAAATACTTCATTTACACATCAAATGTTAGGTTTTCATGCCAAAAATGTGAGAATAAATTTAGACATGGGCTATATTTTTTTAAAAAATATGTTTGCTTTAGCCTAGGGGCTTGTCCACCACTTTTCTCTCAATCATCCTTGTTTGTACTTGTCCTAATTTGCTCAGTGTACATTTAAAAGGATACAATTACATGGTAGGAAATAATATAATTATTTTAAAGTGTCTGCATGGTAACATAGAGTAATACAACTTTAAAGTACATCTCCATACTTTATTTTGTGCACATGTCTACTTTGAAAATCCTGTTTTTAACTCATTTCAAATGTATTTACAATTTAGTTGACAAAATTTCCTTTAGAAACTAAATGGCCTAATAAATACTGTAAAACTTTCCAAGTATGTTTTATGTTTTAATAATTTGACAATATTTCACAAATGTGGCATTTATGATCATCATATATTAATATATTTATCATTGGTATTTATGATATGGTATTCATGATAATTACAGAAAAGAAACTATCTGTGTATTTAAAGAAACTGTATATTAAAATAAAGTGGTTTGAGTATTTCAAATTTGTGTTTTAATGGTGGCAATGTATTTTAAAATATTCCAGAATATTCCAGAAAAGCCTCCCCTCACTCCCAAAATAAAAATATCCTGGTTTTTAAATGATATTTTTGTAGTGGTATTTTTGTAATATTATTTTGGCATTTGTTTAAATGTCACCAAAGTATATTAAAATACTTTGGAAAACTTTACGGTCTCATAAATCAAGTTGTGTTTCTGGCACACTGCTCCTGTAGTCAGGGCTTTCTGTTTGCTGGTTTGAGGTTTTTTGTTTTGATTTGTTTTGCTTTAGCAGCTTGAGATTCCTGTTATTAGTGTGCCAAATACAGTGCAGTAAAACTTTACATGTGCCCCTGAGTTTCCCTCAGGGAAGTGCATTCTTCACTTTCATTACATCAGTTCTGCCATTCTACTATGAAACTAGCTTTCTTTCAAGAAGGTGAGTATACAAACATTTTTTAATATAAAGTTTTCTATGCAAAATCATGAAAAGGTGAAAATAAAGATACCAAATAGGGAGTTTAATACTGTTTCAAGTTTCTTAGAAAATGGAATGTCTCTGAAAATGATGCTTTGTTATAAATGCAAGTGTTTTGGAAAGGCTGGCAATAGTAAGGATAAGTAAGCTTCTCTAACGAAAGTATTTCCCTTTACAGATTTGTTTAATCCTTAAGTTTAAACCACAACAGTGGTCTAGGACACAAAAATATGGGTATTTCAAAATAAGCAGTGAATAAATCACAGGGCGTATTGAAATAGAATTAATATGTGTTTTAGTATTTAGTAATGCTGTATACGGGGGTCTTTCATTTTGTTTTTATTTTCATCTTAGCAGAGGTGAGACCACAGGTGAAAATTAGTTGCAAGATTAAGTTTACTCATTTTGTTTACCCATTTCCCTAATGATTTGAATAATCACACTTCCAAGTACAGAAACAAAATATCTTTTCATAAATTGTAAGTGATTTATCCTTTTATAGAAAATGTGATTTATGATAAGACAGTTATCTGATAAGAGTCACTATATCCTTCAAATATAGACATATAACATTTCTTGTACAATGTAAAGAATTTGAATAATAAATATATTCATATGCATTGTGATCTATAACTAGCAATGATAAGAAAAAAACTACCTGAGCACAATTGCATCTTTATAAGCAGGAAAAATATGAAATTTTAAGAAGGAACATTGAGAATTTAAGGTTATAAAATTATGAGAACGTCTGCTAGAAGAATTTTTATGCATGCTATTCTCTGCCTCTCTTTTCATTTTTGTTTACTTGGGAGTGATATTTAATCACCCAAAATTGAACCTCATGAGATAGTATTATAAATCTTATTATAATAAATAGAGAATTGAGAGTTTGAGAGACAAACAGGATGCAAATAAAACTTCAGAGAATGAGGCAATAAAAAGTTTTACAAAATACAAACCATAAAGCTTAGAGAAGGTGGGGCTATATCTGTCTAGACACCATTATGTTTTCATGTCCAGGACAGTGCCTGACATGTGGTAGACCTGCAATACAGTTGTTTATTCAATTTTGTAAACTGAACTATAATTTGTACTCAGACTAGAACATACTAATTATTTTATTCTCTATTCATCATGTGACACCAGCTGGTATTATATAAAAGTAAATACATTTTAAAGGGTTCGTTGATATTTAATATAATTCAAAACTTATATAGATAGACAATTATATAGAATTTGAAACCAAGTTAATTTTATCCTACTAGTTTTTTTTTCTCTCAATTTAAAGATTATTTAGTTCAATGATTTTGGATATAGTATTCAAGAAATTTGAGAATAATAGATGGCTAAATAAAAAGCCTAAAAGTTTGTTTGCCCAAATATAATCAGGCTTTTTATTTCAAACTTTCATATAAAGACATAGAGCCAACCTAAACTTCTTTATGTTAACAGTCAGAGTCAATCTTTTAAAATATTCTAATTGTAGTAATGTTTAATTGGAAGACTTCAGTTTTCAGAGAAACTATTGGTCTTAGGAGATGAATTATCTACTTTGATTCCAGAAAAACAGAATGTTCTAAGACTGAGTTCCAACGATTGATGCATATCTTCTTTATCAGGTTTTTTGTTCCACATGAAAAATAAAAATGTTTGCAAGTCTAGATTTTTTTTAACAAACTATTCAAGTTTCTGAAAGTGGTTTCTAAGTCGCTAGGCACCCATTGTTTCTCACATAAAAGCTAAAGAAGTAAATAATGAACCACCAAGCCATTTGAGATTCATGTGGACATTCAGCAATTGGATTTAGATTATTAACCTATCTATAATTCACATAGATTTCATTTGTGAATGTGATGGTCTTTATATTAGATTATATCTTCAAGGTAAGGATTGTTTTAAACATTAATGTGTCTAAAGAACAATCAGAAAGTTTTGTAAAAGTTCAGATAACTAGAATGGTCTTATAAAGATTTTTTTGGGGACACTTGGTTGTAAGGTATGATTTCTTAGTGTTTTAATTAATAAACTTTGGAGACAGAGAATTGGTTGGTACTTTCATAAGCATAACATTGCCATAATGAAATAGTGTCCAATAAATTTCTCAAAATAGAAAATCAGAATAGTTTGCATAGATGATTTGTAAGATAAAAAATAATGAATACAAAAACATTGAATCCAGTTTAAAGGGCATTTACAATTATTTAGAAGTACAATTTAGTCTTCTCTTGGTTTTCCCTTAAGTCATCTCAAGGATTTCCTTCAGCTTTCACAAAACATACTGATATAGGACTATCCACCACAGGCTAGACATACTTGTAATATTAGCAGACATTCTTGTATTATTAACCTAAAACTAAAAGACTCCAAAAAATTTGCCTTCCTTGAATTTATTAGCATAAAATATTATATCACTATTGTTTTATAATTGATACATAAAATTTGCATTACAGGTTGCTTTTGAATCAATTAGAACGTATTTAGCCAACAATTCTTACAGCCACGTACATTATATTGTCACTAGAAGTAAATCATTCAATAATTGCTTCACCAGAAGAAAGAATTAAGTTTTATGGTTAGGGTAAAAGTTGCTGACAAGAAGTCTGTCTTCTCTCTGTAATTAGAAGTAGGATAATTTGTGAATTCTGCAAAAGGGGAAATTATTATGTACTATTTTGTGTACCCTTTCAATCAAGATTTAAAATGTTCCCAAAATTGTATGGAGAAGTGCAGATATTTGAGTATGTAATTCATCATAGTTCTCAGGAGTTCCTGAAAGAGATTTCCCCTGATTATACCTAGTAACTTAGGTAGTCATTAGTTGGCAACAGATAGCTCTTTAAGAACAGTGACTGGAATGCTTTATCCCTAGCAATATGATCTTGAGAGCTGTGGCAGGGGTGAAATTGAGCTCTAGGTTAAACTGAATTGTTTCTCAAGAAAACCTAAGTCAGCTTGGACCTACATAAAATGTTGTATTATATACAGTATCAATGCCTGACACATGTCAAGGTGAGAAATACTTAAATCAATTTTTTAGAGAAAAGTTTTAAAAAGTTTGAAGCTGGCCAACAATTTAATTAATATAATGTGTTTATTGACTGTATAACTCAGAAAGTTTTAATGTTATTTTACTGGCATGTAGTTCCAGGAGATCTGATGATAA